GGCTCCGCCGCGTCCCAGGCTGTGATGCCGTGCGCTGGCCTTGGGAGTGCGTTCGCTGTCACGTCAGCACGGCTCTCGGTAGGGCACAGGACTGCGGATGGCGAGCACGCGTGCCACATCCAGCGGGGGCGCTCTTTCATCGGGGGCGCGCAGACACGGATTAGCGATCCATGGATTTGGCGCGCGGCCGCCTGATCCATGGATCGGGGGAGGTGCCCTCCGCAAAATGCGGCCGGTGCCGCCTCGCTCGGCGGCGGGAATCCGCGATTCCCCATGGAAACGGGACCCGTCGCTAATCCACGCCCCCTTGATCCATGTTTGCGATCGCCTGATCTCAGTAGTGCGCAGAAGGACACTCTGGTGCTGCAGGCCTCGGACGAAGGTTAGCGAGCACGCATGCCACGTCTATCGGTCAAGGCCCTCCCCTCCCCCCGATGTTCAAAGTTGGCGGTGGGCCTGGTGAGTTGCACTTCGACCGCAGTCTCCCCCGCGCGTGCCAACTTTGAGCTTGGGGGAGCGGGGGAAAGTCCGCTAATTGTTTCCCCCTACCGACTGTGCCGATGTTGGAGGCGCACGTCCGACGCGAGCATGTAGTACACAAATCTTCTGGCAAGTGTATCGTTTCCCGTGCGGCCTGGCCAGGATGCGCTCGCCACCGAGCTCATACTACAAGATTTCTGACCGTGCGCGTCGCCATTGTGAGCGTTCTTTTTATTCGGCGTTTCGGCATTGGGCGAAATGGGGGGGAGTGGGGGGGGGTCTGGCTCCGGACCTCGGCTTAACGCGGCTGTTTGGGACCGTGCGTCCTCTGGGGGAGACCCCACCTTCTCGCCAGAAACAGCCGAGGATCTACTCCACGGAGGGGGGGGGGGAGAGGGGGGGTGCGAGGGCCCGCGCCGATCGGCAAAGCAATGAATCAGCGCTGGACAAACCTCCCTTTAGTAAACCTCCCCTTAGTGAAAACGACCTGGGGCCGAAATCGAAGGACCTGGACCCGCGAAAAGGACGGCCGCGACGCCCTCTCGCGAACCGAGAACGGCCAATTCCTCAATCGACGTGTCAGGGTAGGAGGTCTGTCCACCTCCGATTAATAAGCGTCGGGGGCGTCACCCCCGCCGACAGCCCCACATCGACCCCCGTCGCGGGCAGCCACCGCGCGCCGAAGGCGCTACGACCCCCGTCGCGGCGCGACGACGAGGCGAGGCTGACCCCCGTCGGGGGGGGGTACCCCCCCGCGCTTACTGAGTAACCCAGAGTATGTATCCCGTTCCTAGACATGCCCGAGCAGGGCCCCGAGCTTTCCCCCTGCAGGTGCGCGGGCCAGAACTGTCGACCCTGCAGGGCCGACGCACTTACAGGTTGCATCAGCACGTACGTTTGGGCGGTGCCGACGCCGTGCCCGCGCCTGCGCTCGGGAACCTCTGCTCTCGACGCGTCGCGGCGGCGGCCCCGGCGACGCGCCACACGCCTCCTCCTCCTCCTCCTCCTCCTCCTCCTCCTCCTCCTCCTCCTCCTCCTCCTCCTCCCTCCTCCTCCTCTGCGAGCGGATGCTGAAGCAGCGCGCCACTCGGCTCCGCGGGACGGGCGGCGGGACAGGGCTCTCGGGACGTGGACCGGGCGCTCCCAAGTTCGAGATCGACGGGTCGGATCGGCGATCGAAACGAGGCGGATCTGAAGGGGCCCCGGGACACACAAAAAAATACACACAAAATAAATGATTCCCCATATTTTCCTATATGTTCTGGGTTTCTGTCTTCCCCCCCCACTTCCCATACCTTCCCATATTTTCCGAGGAATCGAGGATTAAATGTGTCTGTGTGCTTTTTCCTCCCCTGAGGATCGGCGGAGCGGCGGAACTCGGCGGCCGCGTCGGGAGCAGTCGAGGCGGCGGACAAATCGGCAGGCCAGCATATGCCTCCCATGGGAACATGGGAATCTGAAGCGGAATCCGGAGTCGAACCGAAACGGAATCGGAGATCATCGAAACCGAACCGAATCGGAATCGAATCGAATCGGAATCGGAAATCATCGAAATCGGAGTCTAGAACGGAATCCGAAGTCGAATCGGATCGGAATTGGAAACCATTGAGATCGAATCGGATCGACTCGGAGGACTCGAAACGAGCCCCAACGCGGACGCCTGGAGACAGGGCCGCGTGCGGCGTGCCCCGCCGGAGCGTGGTGGGCCAGCGTCGGCGGCGCCGCACGCCGCGCAGGAGTTCCCGACCGCAGCAGCTCGCACGGCCTCCTCTTAAAGGAAGACACAGCGGAGGCCAGTGCACAACAGACCTTCCACAAGAAACCCAACCCTGAGACCCCAGGTCGCCCACTGGTCTTTGTCGTGGACACGTCGCGCTCTCCACCGCAAAACCACCGAGACCAAAGCATCCCAGCGCACCCTGGAGGCGAGTAGAGTGCTTCTCGGCGTGGGCCCCCGATGTAAGCCCTGCCTGCATCAACACACGCGTTCCTCGGAGGTCCGCCCCGAGTCCTTGAATCGGCCCCAGGCCCCCGACGTCGTGACTTTGTCGCGCCGACCCCCAATCGGCGGCGAGCGAAGGGGGTGCGGGGGAAGTGAGAAGGAGAAGGCCTTCTCGGAAGGCGGCGGGACGACTCAGAAGCCCTCGCGCCTTCCGAGAAGCTTTTGCCTGTCTTCCTGGAAGGATTGGTCGGGGATCCTCTGACCCGGGTCAATCCAGACCCGGGTCAGTCAGGCCTTACAGAATCCTGCAGGATCCTGCAAGATCCTGCACACAAACCCGGGTCAATGCGAAGGATCCTGCAGGATCCCGCGGGACCCTGCACCCAGACCCGGGTCAATGCGACCCTGGCCCTGCAGGATCCTGCAAGATCGGGCGCTCTGGCTGACCCCCGTTTGCATGGACCCCCGTCTCAAATCTCCCGTCAGGGCAGTTTTCCTCCTCCTCCTCCTCCTCCTCCTCCTCCTCCTCCTCCTCCTCCTCCTCCTCCTCCTCCTCCTCCTCCTCCTCCTCCTCCCCCCCCTCCTCTCTCCCTCCTCCTCCTCCTCCTCCTCCTCCTCCTCCTCCTCCTCCTCTCCTCCTCCTCCTCCTCCTCCTCCTCCTCCTCCTCCTCCTCCTCCTCCCTCCTCCTCCTCCTCCCTCCTCCTCCTCCTCCTCCTCCCTCCTCCTCCTCCTCCTCCCTCCTCTTCCTCCTCCTCCCTCCTCCTCCTCCTCCGTCTCTTGAGCCCCGACTTGAGAAACCTCTCAGAAGGCCGGGGGACCTCCGAGCCTTCTGAGGAGGCCCGCCCCTTCTCACCTCCCCCCCCCCCGCTCGCCGCCGACCCAGGAGAGGTCCGGACCCCTCTCCCCCGGACCGGCCCCTCGTCCCGACTAATTCTAGGTCGGGCCTGTGCCCCCACAGGGGGACTCTGGGCGAAGAGTGCGAAGAATCAAGAGTAGAGTCGGGGACTGGTCTCAAGGAGCCCAAAAGAAGGAACGAGGCCCCTGTTTTCCACAAGCTGAACGTCGACTTCCGATCGCAAACAGAAGGAAAGCCTGAGGCAGGCTGCGAAACACCTAAGGAACGCGGAGCCCCTCCCCAACGAAAAGGGTTCCTACTTCAGGGCCCCGACTGTACACCAACAATATTCAAACATAGACAGAGATACTCAACGAATGCTCCACAGACTTTGAAGGTCGCTGGGGGGGCAGCGTTGCTTCCAGGGCCAGATCCCGTGCGCTCGGCGGGCGTGCTGGATCGGTCAGCAGCAATCCTTGCAGCCGCCCTTCGCGAGAAGCTCTGATTTACGGTCTGCTCTAGCCGGCGATTGGGCTGCTCGTGCTTGATCATGGCCTCTCTCCCGCCGCCCCAGAAACACACATCGCGTTTTGCTGCCCCTCGGCGAGCGTCGACCCAGACTATCGTTTGACTATGTTTGGATATTCCTCCTGCAGAGGGACAGGCCCTTTGTGGACCCCGGAAGCGGCAGGGCCGATTTTTCACCATTTCCAATAACATGTCCCTTGAAAATGGAAACGGCAAAAAAGACGGCGACTGGAAACGGCAAAAAAACGGCTCCAGGATTGGAGCCGGAACCGGTCAAAAAACGGCGACGGCACCGGTTAAAAAACGGTGTCGGAACCGGCCCAAAAAACGGCAAAACGGAAACGGTAAAAAAACGGCCCTGCCATTACGGAGCCGAGGCCCGGCGCGGGGGCCTCCGCGGCGGCGGGAGAAGCGGCCGCGCTGCCTCCGCAGCGCGAGGGGGGGCCTGGGGCGCCGAGCCGCCCCCCCGCCAGCCACTGGCGCGCACGGAGCGAGGAGGAGGAGGAGGAGGAGGAGGAGGAGGAGCGCCAGGAGGAGGAGGAGGAGGAGGAGGAGGAGGAGGAGGAGCGCCAGGAGGAGGAGGAGGAGGAGGAGGAGGGAGGAGGAGAGGGGAGAGGGGGAGGAGGAGGGGGAGGAGGAGGAGGAGGAGGAGGAGGAGCGCCAGCCTTCGGTCGGGCGTGTCCCCCCACATGGGGATTGCGGACGATATTATCATTAGGGGATCGAAGAATGACACAGACATAAAAACTCGGAGGTCCGCGCGGATTTCTCGGATCGGCGCCAGAGGCGCCGCCAGGGGGGTCCGACTGAGCCGGATTCGCCCAGATGAGGCCGGTGATCGGCCGCAAAAATGCCAGCGCCGATACAGAATTTAACCTCCCAGGAGTTGCATCCTAGCCTAAGGCTATGGCAAAACTAGAGGACCGCATCGGAGAACCAAAACTAGAGGACCGCATCGGAGAACCCCCTGTGAGAACGAGCTACGGCAACCAGGGAAATGAGGCACCAACTGGCCTTTGCTGTTCGAGTTCGCAGGCATCTCCGCAACTTGGGAGGGGAAACGAACCTACCATTAGCTCGGAATTTGCAGCGGGGGTGCCATTTCCTGTGCAAGATCCGGTTGTGTCTGCGACAAGGGCATCCTTCGGTGCCCGGCTTTCGGGGGGCGCGCGGGAGTGGGATCACCCCCTGGCATGCAGTGGCTACGGTTAGGTCGGGCATGTCCTCCGAAGGGCGGATTCCCGAAGAGAAACTAAGACAAAAAAAACCGTACCAAAAAATCAAAAAATGGCCAAACATAGTCGAGACATCGTCCCACCACTATTTGTTGACTATTTCTGAATACCCCTCCTATAGAAGAGGCGTGACCGACTTGAGGCTACCGGCGCATCGCGTGCGGCGATCGGCGAGCCGCGCGCGCGGGATGCCGCCCTGGCCCAGGCCCGTGCTCCAGGACCCGCGGGACCCGAGAGCGGATCCTGGACACCTGGGACTGCTGAACAAAGGCGGGGCCGCCTCCTCCCTCCTCCCTCCTCCTCCCTCTTCCCTCTCCTCCTCCTCCTCCTCCTCCTCCTCCTCCTCCTCCTCCTCCTCCTCTCCTCCTCCTCACCCTCGATCCTCCTCCTCCTCTCCTCCTCCTCCTCCTCCTCCTCCTCCTCCTCCTCCTCCTCCTCCTCCCCCTCCTCCTCCTCCTCCGCCGTACCCCGTGCCGGCCCGCTGGGACGGGCGCCCCTCCTCCCCAGGTGGCCCGTCTGCGCGCGGCCTGCCGCGGGCCCGGCAGGAGGCGGTGTCAGGGTGGGGAGCGTTGGCCGGGCCCTCTCCGTAGGAGGGCGCCAACTATACACCAACACCGATCCTGGCCAGGACCACCCTGGGCCCAGGATCGGTGTATACGCCCTCCTGCCTGGGGCAGGAAGGCACATACACCAATCCTGGGCGCAGAATTGGCCTGGCCAAGATCGGTGTAGGTGTATAGTTGGTGCCCTCCGATCTCCGCTCCAGCCTTGGGAGGGGAAGCGGGGCGGAGCGTTATGTTCCAGTCTACTGCAGCCTGAACCACCAGAAGGAGTCTCGAGCACCAAGAGAGTGCCGAAACTCGAGGGTTGTCGCGCGTCGGGCCCTGGGGGGCACTCGTTGGACACTGTTGCGACACTGTTTCGATACTTTCCCAGGTGCTCGAAATTGATTCTGGGATGTGATCCTTAAGTACAATGAGGGCACCAGAAGCGGAAAGGGGGCTACCTGGACACAGCCGGAGGTCCAGGGAGGAGGTGAGCATTTATCTTGCCGCCCAGGCCTCCCCCTTGTTCGTGCCCACGGCCAGGTGGGTGCCGCGCTGGATCCAGCTGACCGAAGTGACCATGTCGTCGGCGCCAAGGTCGCACAGCTTGTTCACCCGTCCAGTGTGGCCACTCCACAGGTAGACCTCGCTGTGCAGCCCGACGGACAACACGTTCGATGACGACCAGTCTACCTTGGAGGCGCGCATAACCCACACATCCTCGCGTCGTGACACAAATCACGGCCGAAAGCTCTTGGCGTTTTCCGGGCTCCAGGGGGCCTCACCAGGCTCCAGGACCGTCAAAGAACGACTCCAGGGAAGAGCGCTGAGAAATACCCATTGGAAAACCAGTCTCAGGGATGGGGTAGAGACCTCGGAGGTCCGCGTCGTCAGTGGCTCTGGGAAGAAGGCTGGGTGAAGGAGGCCGCCTTCTGACCATACTCACACGGTGCAGGGACGCGTGGCTCCCCAGGGGCCGAGGGGAGAAGGAGGAGGAGGAGGAGGGGGAGGAGGAGGAGGAGGAGGAGGAGGAGGAGGAGGACGAGGAGGAGGAGGGAGGAGAACGACCTTCTGAGAAGGCCCCTGCCGAGGCCCCCGCCCTCGCCGTCGTCCTTTTTTGCGTGCCGACCTTGGTTCACACTGGTCCTCCTCCTCCTCCTCCTCCTCCTCCTCCACCTCCTCCTCCTCCTCCTCCTCCTCCTCCTCCTCCTCCTCCTCCTGCTCCTCCTCATCCCCCTGCGACCAGGTTCAGGTAGAAGTCGTCCTGAAGCTGGGGCGCGTCCAGCACCTTGAAGGGCACCTTGGCGATCTTGCGGAGCGCCTTGCGCGGGGTGCTCAGGAGGTCCTGGCTCTGGAAGGGGACCGGGGACATGGACCGGAGGGTTCCAGAGGGGGGTTCTGAGGAGGGGGGGTTCCAGAGAGCCCCCCCTGGCCAGGGACCTCGGAACCTCGTCAAGATAGGGGGTGCGAAGCCCCTGGGGGGCCCCTGCCGGAAAACCCCCTCCCCAAAAATCGGCATTGGACAAACCTCCCTTTGGCAAACCTCCCCTTAGCGAAAACGGCCTGGGACCGAAACCAGCGGACCTGGACCCGCAAAAGTGACGGCCGCGACGCCCCTTCGCGAACCGAAAAGGGCCAAGCCGCCAATCGACGTGTCAGGGTAGGAGGTCTGCCCACCCCCGAAGCAAAAACCCTGTGGAACCCTCCGGATGGAGAACGCGTCGCTCTGCGAGAGCTGCGGCTCGGACCGGAACCGGAACAGGTTCTTGCCCTCCGGAGTCCTCGCCCGGCCCTCGCCGCCTGGCGGTGCGCCAAGAAGGCTGGGATGGGGCATGTCCTCCTACGGGCGCTTTGTGGGGCACGGAAACGGCAGGGCCGTTTTTTCACCGTTTCCAAAAAAATGCCCCTTGAAAACGGAAACGGCAAAAAAACGGCGACCGGAAACGGCAAAAAAACGGCTCCAGGATCGGAACCGGAGCCGGAACCGGTCAAAAAACGGCGACGGGACCGGTAAAAAAACGGCGTCAGAACCGGCAAAAAAACGGCAAAACGGAACCGGTAAAAAGACGGCCCTGCCGTTTCCAGGGCCCACTAAGTACAGGCGGCTTCCGAAAGAGAACTCAAAACATCGTCAAAGAATTGGCAGACATGGCTAGACGAGCGCGTTCCACAACTTGCAGAGTACTCCAGATTTCGTAATAAAAGGGAGGGGGTCTGGACCCTCCAAGACAGGCCATTTCAGACCTCCCCCGTGGGAAAACCATCCAAAACATCGTCCCCAGACCCCCCAGGCCCTCCAAGATAGGCTGGAAGAGACTCCCCCGAAATGAGACCCCCCTCCCTTTATTACGAAATCTGGAGTATCTACTCGCAAGTGGCCTGGATCCGACGCGGGGGCGATAAATTACATCGAAGCGGACATGTGTTTTTGTTTTCGGACACTTGCGAGCATGCACTTTGCGAGTAGTGGAGCGCGCTCGGTGAATAGCCCAAAGAGCACGACTACTCGTCCCCAGGCCATTTTGACAATGCTGGGAGGCTCCTCCTGTAGAGAGAGACATGCCCGACTTCTCAGCCTGGCGGTGCGCCAAAAGGGGGCTCGGCGATCGAGGTTTGCATTACCAAAGCCCTGCTCACGGCTCCACCTCGCGAGGGGTCAGGGGGGGCTCGGACACAAGCCGGCGTCGAGCTAGGGGGGAAAATGAGAGAAGGCCCTCTCAGGAGGCGGCGGGGCTTCTCGGAAGCCATCAGGCCTTCTTTCGGAGGTCGGAAAGGGGCGTGGCGTAATGGGGTATGGTGCCAATCGTGAACATGGCGATGCTATATACGATAGATAACATCGCCTGATTCCCCTTTTAAATAACAGTAGCACCACACCCCTTTACACCAAACCCCTTTCCTACTTCCAAACTTTTGAGAGGTCTTCTGCGTTTTCCGGGAAGGCTTGGAAAACTTCTGAGACGGCCGGGTGCTTCCGAGCCTTCCGAGAAGGCCCGCCCCCCCCCACTTCCCTTCCAGGTCTGGCCGCCGAAATACACACAAGTCCAAGGATTCCCTGCATGATGCTAGATGTTCTCGATGTTCGTCTTCCCCTCCACTTCCCATATCTTCCGCACTTTCCTAGGCATCGGCGCCGAGAGAGTCTCTGGAGGCAGAGCTCCTGTCCATGCACCGTCCTGTTGGCGTCCAGAGCTGGAAGGCTACAGAGGAGGCATGGACGAAGCTCCGACCGCCGCGGGGACGCGAGGCGGGGGGGGGGCTATCCAGGAAGCGGACAGGCAGGGGGCCGCTCGGATGCGAAGAGGCCTCTGATTGAGGGGGCCGCTCGGCTGCCGCAGGAGGAGGCCTCCGAGCCTCCGATGCGGGGGCCGCCTGTGAACGGGCGACGAACGGTAGAACATAATTATCCCAGTGCGACCCTACCTAGGAGTTGGAGCATCTAGGAAAACATAATCTACATATACACCGACAGCTACATTCACATCTACACCTGCATCTACATCTACATCAACATCAACAGCGAGACTCACATCTACATCTACACCTACATATACACCTACACCTACAAATACATCTACATATACATATACATCTACACCTACATCCACATCTACACCTACACCTACATCTACATCGACATCTACAACTTCGCATTGGTGTTGCTTTTGCTTTGCGTTGCCTTGCCTGTGCTAATTTTGCTGTTGCTGTTGATGTTGCTTTGCGTTTGCTGTTGTCGGTGATTGATGTTGTGTTTGATGTGCCTGCTATGCTCTGCTATGCTATGATATGATATGATATGCTGAGCTATGCTATGATATGCTATGCTATGATATGCTTGGCCATGCTATGCTATGTTATGCTGTGCTAATGCTGCGCTGCGCTATGCTGCGCTGCGCTAAGCTAAGCTAAGGCGAGCTAAGATATGATAAGCTAAGTTAAGCTAAGCCAGGCTAGGCTAAGCCAAGCTAAGCTAAACAAAGCTAAGCCAGGCTAAGTCAAGCTAAGCTAAGCTAGGCTAGGCTAAGCTAAGCTAAGCTGAGCTAAGTTAAGCTAGGCTAAGCTAGGTTAGGTTAAGCTAAGCTAAGCTAAGCTAGGCTAAGCTAAGATGAGATAAGCAACGCTAAGCTAAGGGGACGTAACTGGGGGAACCGCGGGGCGGATACTGGGGGAACCGCCCGGGGCGGTGTGCACTGCCCGGCCCCTTTAAGAAAGAGAGTAAGAACCCTTCTAGGCAGAGCCTAGGTAGGGAATAAACTTCTTCGCTGTCGGGGGCGCCTGTCCCTGGGCGGCTGGGAAGTCCCCCAATCAGAGCCTGCCTCGGCAGGGGTCCTAGCGGATTCATATGGCTAGGTGAGTTGAGCCGCCGATGTCGGTGGCCAGCCCGGGTGCCCGGGTGCCCGGGTGCCCGGGTGCTCTATCGCCCTTTAGCCCTATAGCCCTATAGCCCTATATAGTCTATGGCCCTATAGCCCTATAGCCCTATAGCTCTATAGCCCTATAGCCATGTAGCCCTACAGCCCTACAGCCCTATAGCCCTGTAGCTCCTTAACCCTATAGCTCAAAAAAAGATCATGATTGGGGTGTTTCTCTGGTGCCAGTGATACCCTGACGGTGGCACATTAGGGGTATGTATAAACTTTCCAGCTGCCTGGGGGGCTGGCGTCCCCGACTGCGGAAAAAAGTCGACTGTACATGGAGAGCGGGGGGGGGGCGTCCAAGAGGTGGGGGCACGCTCTGCGTTACAAGGAGGCCGCCCCCCACACCGCCCTGCCCATGGCCACAACCGCACCCAAGGCGCCTCCTAGCATCTCTCTGGCCACCTCCCCGCGCCGCGTCCACCGGCCGGTGGCCACTCTGGGGGCGATTCAGGGCCATCTTGGAGGCTATCTTGGCCGCTCTTGGGTCCGTCTGAGGAGCCTCTTGTGCCGTCATGGGGCCGTCTTGGAAGCCTCTTGGGCGATCTTGGGGGCCCCCGGGGCCGTCGGAGGGCCGAAAAGAAGGCAGCGCGCGAAAGTCCTTTTCAAAGGCAGAGTTAACCAGCCTCGAACGTATCCCTATCCCCAAGATGGGCGAGCAAAAAGCGAGGACAATCCTAGGGATAGGCCCTCAGGAACTGAGGGAATCCTTAAGATCGGCATCGAGGTGAGGTGATGCCAAACATAGGGATAGGGATATGTTTCAAATTGGTAACGAGCGGCGCCCCCCATCGGAGCCCCCACGCAGGGCCCGCGGCGCCCGCGAGCGCCCCCCCCGACGGGACCCCTCGCGCGGCCCACCCTGGCCGCCGCAGCCGCGAGGGTGCCCCCCGTGGGCGCCCCGTGGGCGCCCCGCCCCGTGGGCGCCCCGCACCGTGGGCGCGCCTCGTGGGCGCCTCGTAGGCGCACCGTGGGCACGCCTCGTGGGCGCCTCGTGGGCGCCCCGTGGGCGCCCCGTGGGCGCCTCGTGGGCGCCTCGTGGGCGCCCCGCCCCGTGGGCGCCCCTCGTGGGCGCCTCGTGGGCGCCCCGTGGGCGCCCCGCGAGCCGCCCTCCGGGCCG